CAAAACTTGGGCAACATCATAACACTACGAAAAAAAAGGCCTTTAGCGACATGCAAATTCCGTCACAAAAAAACAAAAACGCGTCGTAAATAGCAATTAGCGACGGCAATGCGACGTTTTTTGTCACGTCGCAATAAATGGCGTCGCAAATGATTTGAGCCCTTTTTACGACACTTGGGGCCGTCGTAATAACGTATTGCGTCGAATTTGCGACGGTTAAAAATTGTCGCAATAAACTAAGCGTCGGATTTAAGACGCGATTTTACGACACTAGTTACGACGCGATCTCGTGTCGCAACTAAAGTAATTGCGACGGTGTTGTTCTGTCGCTAATTCTTATACGACAAAGTAAATGCCTTTTTGGCGACAGTATATACGACGGTGGCACGCGTCATTTAATGACTGTATGTAGTGTCGCAATTTTAATAAATTCAGTTTTTTGAATTATTTTTGAATTTATTATTTTGCACAGCTTGCTTCAACGCAGACAATTTAATTTGCAACACCAATGACAGTCTTAATTGACATATAAAATGTGATTTTTAATTAGAATTGACTATAAAAACTTATAAAATGGTGTTATATCTTGATCAAAGCAAAAATAACTTCATTCATGTACTTGAAAGTATCATCTTTTGCATTCACACAAAAAAAAAACCTAATAATTATAGAATCTCAAATCTCAAGTCATATGTAAACAATACCATCTCTAGATATAAAACAAAATATTAGGATTCAAAAGTACTAAAATTAATAGAGTTTAAACTTGAAGGAGTCATCATTATCTTGTATTTCATCTCCACCCCTAACCTGAAAATAGTGACAAAAAATATAAATAAATGAATGGAAAAAATATATATTGTAATTTTTTTCCGAATATAATTATCTAACCTTTTAATGAAAATAATTTCTTTTATGCCTCCAAGTCTAAATTAGGCTGCAGCTCGCTATTAACACTAAGTCTTCGTTGATGCATACTTGAGGCATCTGGAATCTATTGAGGACAGGAAATATAAACATTTCAAAGTTACAATAAAAACTATGATCACTTGAATTTTAACGGTATTTATTCTTTAATAAGAGAAAGACATTAAATATAATGTACCTGGCCGCTTCCGCTTTCTTCTGGGGTGGTTTGGAAACCAACATGAGTCATTACTTGACTGAGTTGTGAGCTGACCTCATTTAACTTGGATTGGAGATCATCTATTTTTGACTGATATTGTTTCTCTAGCTCCTCTCTCATCCTATTCTCATTATTGTCATAATTTGATTTTTGACCAAACACTTGAGATGGAGTTACACCAGCCCCATACATGCGAACACGCCCATGTGCATCAGTTCCCATCACTTTAGTAAATATCTCCTCTCTAAATAACTCATCTTGTTCATCTTCTTCCCTTTCTTCCAAACATTGGTTGAATTGATTCTACAAAATCACACTTGCAGAATTGGTTCATTTGGCTAAAAGGTAAAATTTCAAAACAACACTATATTCAAACTTACAATAATATCAGCACTGTCCTCATCAAAAACTTCATCTTCATCATTTTTCTTCTTCTTTGTTCGAGTTTTGATAAACATGCTCAGACGATCAGTCTTCTCTCCTCTCTCTTTCATCTATGTAAGAAAAATAATTTGATCTCGTTAGATATATATCTAAAAAGAAGACCAATGACCAATCTGTTACATAAAGCCATAGTACAAATTCTAAATCTTCTGTTAGCATTATTTGCCAGCCATTCAAGATATATGCCTGAACAAAAAGGATTAGCTAATAACAATACCTATATGGTCAATGACTATAGAAAGAATCATTAGCACATAACAAAAAGAATTAATACAACAACATAAGTCAATAGAAAGCCAACCACATTTATAATCAATCTAGTGTTCTTACCACATTTCTCAACTGAGCAAATGATGTGCGGCCAGTCCTATGTGGAGCACCTCCTTGTGCACGATTGACCTTATTCATCTCAGAACATTCCTACAAGATGGTTTTATCAATGATAATTCATCTCTTCTACAAACATAAACTATAAACTTTTTAGATATTTACTTTTACTTTTGGAAGACCCCAATATTTTACTAGTGTCTTCCACTGCTCTGTGACCACCCGAGGAGGAGTGATGGCTAAGCGTTGTTCATCAGTGTCATATTTATCATACCATTTCTGCTTCAGTCGGCACTTCCAATCCCTCCATCTATTACCAACTACCTTTAGGCAATGGAATCTATATGCCTCAGGGGCATCTGTATTATCCTACAATTATAAAATTTTAATTATCAATCAAACCGAATACACATACATTATCACAAATTAGAAGGTTTTGTAAATATAGCTTACTGTGATATCCTTCCAAATGTCGTCTAATATATCATCAGGCATGTCATTCCATGTAGGATATGTTAGAGGAATTTTTTTTCCATTTCGTGCAATGATTCCAAGCTGTGAACTAAACAATGATGCATTAGCTTTAATTGGCTTCCACTCAGGATCAAACGTAACATGCAATATGTTTCCAGTCCCCCATTGAGAAATACTCCGAGCAGCACCACGTCCTTTACTAATATCTTCAGATTCCATTTGCTCTAGTAATAATTATGTATTTGAAAAACTTTTAATAATGAGAAATATCATTAAATAAAATGAAGATAATGAGTTTAAGCACATAAGAACCTGACTCATCTAGTTGGCCTGTCAAATGGTCATCCCCAGAAGCAACAACATTTTGCTGAGATAGTTGTGTCTCTAGCTGAGCGCGTTGACGTCTCACAACAGATGCTTGTTCACTTTGAACCGAGGAAGTAGGCTGTCTTGATGAATTAACTAGAGGCTGACTCGAACTCAAACTACGTTGTTGAGATGTTCGTGCCTGGTGCTTGCCCTTTTTACGTCTCAAAGGAGATGGGGGGAGCAATTCCTCCATTGACATACCTCTTGTTCTCTTAGGCGCCATAAACCACTGAAATAAAATAATTATATAAAAAAATTCCAACAAAGAGAAGTATAAAAAAATTTAAATTATAAACCTCAGCAAGACATCAATTACCATTAAACCACTCTCCATATACTAAATTATTCTTATATACTAATGAAAAAGAAAATAAATTATAGCAAGGATAAATATATAATGGTCAATCAGATTCTTCCATCTCAACAAGATTTTCAACACCATCTGTCTCCACAACAGTTCCTTCCACTCCTTGTCGCACCCAATTAACATCTTTATCGTGCAAATATATAGTTTCATCCAATTGTTGGCTTGCGTAAAGCTCGACTTGAGGTACCGCTGTAGGAGTACGAGATGAATCTTTCGAATACATATCAAATAGATCTCTGACAGTCATCGTAAGAACAACATGCCAATCGGAATCCAAAGGGTCTTGCACATAACAAACTTGTCTTGCTTGTTGAGCCAAAATGAAAGGCTCGTCCCCTATTCCATTCTCTTTGTACAACAAATGATTAAAGTTCACCAGTGTGAATTTAAACTCGTCCTCTTTCACTCCCACAAGACTATCAACCCAATCACACTTGAACAAGACAAATTTCAAGGTATTGGTGTACCGAATTTCAACTATATCTGTCAACACTCCATGAAATGTCACATCACCTGATCGAGGATTTTGATCTCTCACACTAGCATAACTCATAGTATTTGCCTTCAAAACAACACCAGAATTTTGAGTGGTTCTATGATTTTCATACTTCTTTGTACGAAATCTAAAACCATTGACAAAATATCCCTTAAATTTTCGTGCAAACTCATCAGGACCATTAGCCAAACTAATGATTTCTTCAGAAAATACCATATTAGAAGTTCTTCTCTGCGTCGTCACCTAAATATACCAAAGAAACATAACTACAATTATCAATTAATATACTCATGTATCTAGCTTTAGCCACAAATGACTTAGAGTACTTACATAGTTCTTAAACCATGTGTGAAATGTTTCATTGTGAACTTTTTGAATATAGTGAGTGGTTCGTCGAGGCATTTCATCTTCAAGCATTTCAAGGTGTTGGCTGTATAGGATAACAAGTTAGAGAGAATTAATTATTTGTAATTAAAAAAAATCAGAATCTTATGTGACTTACTTTCGGAAAGGTGTGACAACATCCATGTTCACTAGCACGTATCTATGTGCTTGTACCCACGTAACATCGTCAAGGCGTATTTTAACTCCTTTACCTAAAGGACGGCCAAAGTCACTGCCACCATCGTCATTTCGACATGGTCGATTAGATTTTGTTTCGGCCTCATTCAAGTATCTTGCACAAAAGTTCATGCATTCTTCCATCAAGTATCCCTTAGCAATTGAGGCTTCGGGGCGTGCACGATTCCTCACATAACGTTTAAGTGTTAATAGATACCTACAACGAACAAATGAAAACACTATTTAGGATTTAAAAATAATTAAATTTATACATAACAGAATTTAAATTAGAATATTACATACCTCTCAATGGGATACATCCATCGAAATTGGATAGCTCCAGCAACCAATGCTTCCTCAGGTAGATGTATAGGCAAGTGTTCCATTACATTAAAGAATGATAATGGAAAGATCTTCTCCAAATGACAAATGGTAAGCACAATTCGGTCTTTAATATTTTCTAAATCAGAAGGCATGTTTACTTTGGAGCACAACTGTCTGAAGAAATTGGCCAATTCAATTAATACTTCAACTACATTCTTAGGCAAAGTTCTACGTGCTGCTATAGGAAGTAATTGTTGCATTAAAATGTGGCTGTCATGACTCTTAAGACCCCATATACTTCGCTCTTTTAAATGTACATGCCGAGAAATATTAGAGGCATAACCATCTGGAAACTTCACTCCCTTCAATACCTTAAGGAACATATATTTGTTATCCTTATTCATAGTAAAGCATGCTGGAGCTAAGTATGCTTTCTTAGAACCCCGTTGTTGAGGGTGTAATGGTTTCCTAACGCCCATTTCTTCTAAATCACGTCGGGCTTTTAAATTATCCTTTG